AATTCCAAGGTCATACTGGAATCACTAAAACCAACATTTTTAAAAATTGTCATTAGTTCTGTTTTCCTCATTTTTTATACCCCATCTTAAATCCCCACAGCTTGATTTGGTGGAATTTTAAACTCTCATAGTTGTAATTTAACATTTCATAGACTGTATGTCTTAAAGGAATTGCAGCTACCCACAGTTAGTCAGAAGTTGAGTTATAGGATACCTGCTATTCATCTAAACCAAAGTGACAGTGACAATTTGTCCTTCTTTCCTTTTCTACTATTCTTGGAACTTAATTCCAGAAGACTGTAGGCACTCTGAACTTATTAATTACTAGGAAAAATCAGGTCCGAGGTACCTCGGCTTAGGCATCCAAAGCTAGTGAACAATTTTGGCCATACTTCGTTTCCATCTAAAAGATGTGGAAGAACCAAAATCTGTATATAGTGGCTGAATAGCCATACAGGGTGTATGTTCACCAATTCCCCAGCTCTTTGCCCTGCTTCCTAAGATAAAGAAACATCCATAGCTGGATCCGAATCTCCATCAATGGTTCTCAATCGAGATGCTTGACCTGAATTGAAGGATCTCAGGGAACATCATAAAATGCGTTTGTTGTGCAACCTACACATCAGCTTAAATCACTTTCCACAAAGCAAAGATGATACCACTGATTCAGCTCATGACAGTAAAGGCAAATTAGTGGGGTTTTGTGAAGTGCTCAGATGCTGTCATGAGGAACACCATAGAAAAGTCTGTAAGAAATTAAAAATCTCTATCAAGAACAGCATCTGAGCAGAGAGTGATAAATAAAGTGCAAGGTCACACGTTGAAATGGGAAGAAAGTAATAGTGAATTACCTGGGCACCATCCATTCTATCCAATCAGTGAGGTAGGGGTATATTGAAAGAATAGTTTATGATCTGATAATCAAAGGCCATTGTAAGGTGCCTTCACAGAAGGGGCAGGTTAAGTTTGCATGGGCAATTTTAATTCCGACCTGTTCTAACTGTTACCGTAAATCGGCAGATGAAGAACTCTCTAAGACTCAATTTGGAGTTTTAGAAAGCAGGCATTCTTTATTGCGGCGCCGGGTGCAAGGTGGAATTTCCACAAATCAAGCACACCTATGGCTAGATCACCATTACATTTATACACAAAAATTATAACGTAGTACACTCCCAGTTACAATGATTGGTTAGTGATTTACATATAATTATAATATCGGTTATGTCATTCTCTTCTGTTACTACGCTTGCGCGGGGGAGGGGTCTTCACCTGGGCAAGGGTCTTCTTGACCTGTGGGTGTGTTTTTTAGTATTATAATGAAGGCAGTTCACTTCAGGACACCTTAAAAGTAGGTTCTGTTGCCAAGTTGGCCAGCTAGATATCTACCTTGCCAGGTTGTCAAATAATTCATCCCATAAACAATAGAACCTAGAGGCTCTGGTTATGGTTTAGAGAGTCCAGAGAATAGAGAATAGGGACTTCAAGCAACACAGCCTCAAATAATAAGTAACACAGCAACCTATACATAACGCTACCATAAGGGCTAACTTATTAAAATCAAAATGTTCTTATAGTTGATTATTTCATAACCTAAAGATTCAGTAAAACTTAAGATCATCTTCAACATAACTGTTCTTGTCTTTGCTGATCCTTTGGCAATAACCATTGAAACTGGGGGGTATGTGCATGCCTGTTTATGTGCCATTTCCTAGATTTTCGTGAAAAGAAAAACTATCTACTTAGTATTATGAAAAGATACATAGATGCAATTTATTTCATATTACATTTCATTGGGACATTTGAGTTCCCTAATTTGTTGAAACTGCTAAACCTCTAAATTGGAAGTTTGTATCATTAACAGATACATGCTCCAATTACCCAAACATACCCTGACATATGTATTCACTACGTACCCAACTCCTTATGGAATTCAAGTGTATAAACAAGCTCAAGTAGATCTACTGACAAGAAATCACACAGAAATTACACATCCAATTGAGCAACTTCCCCCCGATGTCTGCTTTTTCTAACCATGTGGTCTACAACACAATATTATTGTCGCATACACTTTTTTTTTCTTATGACTTCCACTTTTATTTACATATTAAAACATGGGTTTAAATAAATGATTTGATCAAGATCAGTTGAAAATCTGTGGCACTGCCAGGCACCACACCTGTATTTACAAATCCCTGGTTGGTGCTTTAGTCACAGTAAAATCCTTCCTTCCTTTTAATATTCACTGGAATTCAGTTCTTAAAATATTACTCCTATAAAATTTTGTCGAGTCTTGTGAGTTTTTAAATTTAAATAGCAAGAGAAACGTTTTTCCGTTAGCACTATTGAGTGAAATTAAACATTGATTCCTGCCTTGCTTTCAGCAGCATCCAGTCTCCAGCTCAGCTGTATTCACTTCACTCCTCACTTGCATGGGCTTTGCTTCCTACAGCATTTTAAAAGGTCTAATTTTTACTTCAAATTTTCATTCTGTGTACATCACCAGCTGTGAGAAAAGACACTTCCTACATGTACTTGTTTTCATTTGGGGGCTTGTTCCCGTGCAAAGTCAAACCCTCTTAAACCTCCAATGGGTTCCCAGCTTTATTCATGGGTAACCTATACTTTGGGTAGCTATGTATAAAGTCTTTATCTATCATTCTGACCGCTAAAATTTTGATACATCAGAGAATCGAATCTTCTAGCAAGAATTTTTTCATTCTCCTGTAAGTGTTATAATATAATGCTCTGTAAAACTATTTCTCTCACCAATACAACATCCAGCCACCCAGCATATCACGGTGTAAGAGAGATGTTAGTCTGGAGCCATCTGCTGGTTGTATTGCTCAGCTTTAATGGATTTGAAAAACCACTTTACACATGCATTTTTATTGTAATTTTAAAAATAACAGCATATATTAATACATTAATCACCTAAGTATGTGATGTTTCTTGTGTACTTGTTCTTTAAGTTTAAATACTCAGCGAACTTAATATGGCCCAATTATCAAAATAAAAAATTATTTATTTATCTTGCTTTCATAAACAAAATAAAAACAGAGGGGAGGAGGCCTAAAAAAGCTCTTATTTCTCAGTAACACTGAAAAGAAACCAAGGAATAAGGTAATATTAATGCTAAGATGTAAACAATTTAGTAAAGTAATCCACATATCTTTAGTTTTATTGCTGTGACAAAGAGGATAAATAATTCTTATTGCCTTATTTGATGCTTCGTAAGATTTCACCCTGAATTTGTATGTGTTGTTCTAAAATAGCTAAGATGCACCATGCATGGTTTTTTTGGGATTAAAAAAGGTCTTAGTCAATTTTATGACACTCTTCAAAGGTTTTTATTAAAACTAAATTCAGACAAAAAAGGTAGCAGATGAACAGAAGTATAAAGCCTTTAAAACCGGAAGTTCTAATAAACAAGCTACTACGAACTAAAAATAATCCAGACAATTTAGTTTGGAGACCAGAAGTATATTTCTGTAATGATGCTGTTAGGTATGTATTTACTCATTTATTACATGATAATATTGATAATTATTTGTGCTGTAATTTAGCATTATTTCTATTATTGCAAGAATATATGCAACTTTAACTGTGTCTTCAGGAGCCAGAGAGAGCATTTTACAGATTTTACTAGTTTAAGAGAGATTCTTTGCACCTATTAAATAAGTATACATATACATCTACGTATATGTATGTATACACACAGACACACAAAAATATATACGTATTAACTCATTATGCTAATGTCTATGCATATATACATGCATGTATATATACATATAACTGCATATATGTATGTATGCAATACATGTATATTCATCTATATATGTATGTACATATACACACATGCATGCACATGCATGCATGCCTGTATATCACACCTGACATCTAACTTGTGCCTTCTACAATCTCAATTAAACACAATCCTCTGTTGACTGTTAGTTGCACTGAGATTAAACATTTGCCATTATTCACACTTGCTCTCAGTAGATTCATCAGCAGGAGAAACTTCCAACAGGAGCTGTAAATGGCAAGTAATTTTATCAAGAAATGCAAAATGCAATTTAAAATGTATAAAAGGCAGATAAACAACAAGACTCCCCAGCATAAACAGGAAAGCATAAACATATTGCAGGTTTGGAGACCAGACTATGGGAGCTAAAACTAGGAAGGAAGACATTGCCACCATCACAAATGGAACTGGTAGAAACACCTGCAAGAGAAAGAAAAAAAAAGGGTTTAGGAAATAAAATGACCAACTATGATTTTATGCCTCATTCATAAAAGCAACAATGCATTCTTTGCCACACTAGAGTACCGTTCCTCATGTTGCTGCAGTCTCACCCATGATGAGATTCATCTGACCTCAAATTGCCTACAAGATAGGCAACTGTTCTAAAATACTTGTTCAGGCTCCATCTATTGTCAAGGGGGAGAGATAGGCAGGCTCTGAAAACCGTTCATCCACATATGATATTATGGGCTCCTAAAAGAAACTCAGGGTTGGGTGCCTACAAGAAGCCTTGACAGTGAGCATACACTTCTAACCCATGTTTCTGACAGCTAGATTGAGATTAAATTAAACCTATCCTTAATGTCTGTGGTTGTGTCAGGAGAGATGAGAGTAGATCAAGGTTTAATTAACCATGAATAGCCAGCCTGGATCCCACACTGTTCTGGTTACTGCTCCACAATAGAACCATAGAATCATAGAATCATAGAATCATTAAGGTTGGAAGAGACCTCCAAGATCATCGAGTCCAACCATCAACCCAACAACACCATGCCCACTAAACCATGTCCCTAAGCGCCTCATCTACCCGTCTTTTAAATACTTCCAGGGATGGTGACTCAACCACTTCCCTGGGCAGCCTGTTCCAATGTTTAACTACTCTTTCAGTAAAGAAATTTTTCCTCACATCCAATCTAAACCTCCCCTGGCGCAACTTGAGGCCATTTCCTCTCGTCCTTTCGCCAGTTACTTGGGAGAAGAGACCAACACCCACCTCGCTACAACCTCCTTTCAGGTAGTTGGTTTCAATGTGAAACCATAGTATGGTTTCACATTGTTTGCACATCTCCCTTAAATTAAACCTATCCTTAATGTCTGTGGCTGTGTCAGGAGAGATGAGAGTAGATCAAGGTTTAATTAACCGTGAATAGCCAGCCTGCATCCCACACTGTTCTGGTTACTGCTCCACAATAGCATGGTTTCACATTGTTTGTATGTGAACATCTCCCCCACTCTGCATATATCCATCTCTTGTTTTGAAGTGCAAGCTCTCTGGGGCAGAGACCATCTGCCTGTTTCTTTTCCTTCTGCAGTGAAGCAAAGTTTTTGAATAAGGCTCTCAAGATTGTGATTATTATTCATATTTTTGTAGCGACTATCCACTTTTGACTTGCACTTGTTCTGTAACTTTTGCATGCTACCCATGACTCAAAAAAATCTGCAAAAACATTTTATAACTTATTTCCATTTACTTTGTATGGTCGATGTAGATGAGGTTCCCGGTATCGAAGTACAATCAGGCTTGCACAAGTCAATCCAATCATAAGCCACGCAGAAAATCCAAAGTAATTTGTTAACGTAATAAGGTCAGAAGGGATTATAAAAATGGATGCAATGGTGGTTGAAAAAATCATGGCTGGTGCTGGAGTACAGGAGTGTACATTAAGCATGGATATCAAAACAGGTAAATGTCCTGACTGACTTCCAGCATAGCTTAATCGACCTAGTGTGAACATGCTGCTGTTGAGGGCACCAAATATTGAGACAGCAACAGAGAGAGGAATGATCCAGGCAACAGAGGGGATCACTCGATCAGCCCAAGTGACTGCCACAGCAACTGCAAGAAAGCAAAGCATTAGTCTAGTGTAGGTACCATGCTCTGAATTACTGACAGACTCAACAGAAATGAAACTTAACATACATGAAATACCCATTATTTACCAGCAATGCCTGGTTTTTGTTACAGTAGTCAAACATGACTGATCTAATCCTAAAGGTATTTAATTCAGGAGCTAAAAATTTCCTTTGGGGGATGACAGCAAGAAGGAGTGCTGCCTGCCAAAGAAAGCCTGGTAAACCTGCTGGGGCCAATACCACGGTAACGGACTGCCAAGAGGGAGCAAGCTGCATCTCACCGCCATGAATCACAAACATACGCGGATGGGCAAGGCCACGTGGGGAAAGAAAACGAACGCATTAGTCCCCTGCGTGACCACAGTGATCTACTATTATGAGGAAACTGCCAAGATGAGCGCATGTACATGCAGAGACAGGTCAGCGAGCGGGTTATTAATGAGGTTTTGCTTTGGGTGGAACTGGGAAATGTGAAAGATTATTTCTGACCAAGAGATATTCAATATTTCCTGGAAATTAGCTATAGCCCACATTGTAGCAAGGACTAATATTTAGTGGGCCTATAACCAACCGCCATGAGGAATATAGGTCTTGCAGTGATATGCGCAGCATAGGAAGTTATTAGAGATGGGGAAAACAACCCCTCAAAAAATGTAGTGAACAAACAGGAACTGCAGCAATGCATAGCAATGTTTGAAACAAGGGCTATAATTTTAAGGCTATCTCCTCAGCTGACATAGATAAGCACAGCTTTCCCGGTATGTTTGGAGCTGCTCGTGCCAGCCGGGCAGCTGCTATTCACGGATACCCTGGTATTTGTTGCCTCTTTCATTGTAGGATGGATCTGCAAATGTATGCATCTCTCCCAGCAGATAGCCTGATAATGGCTGAGTGATAATAGGAGGTTGCTGAGTGACAGCTACACTGCTCCCATTTATGTTATTGAGCTGTTCTCACAGGCAAAAAAATAATTGATCCAGCCAAATGAGGTATGGTTTTTGTCACTCCTGGAGGCAAGGTGTGACAGCTCAGCCCTCATTACAGTGGTATTTAAAAGGTGGTGTTTGGACAATCAAGGAGAAATACAGCTCCTCCTGGACCTTTTCATGGACAGCTTATTGGTACAGGATCTGAGAGAGGCTTTACCCACATTGGACTTTTGCAGAGGCTCTTCTAAGGAATCACAACATTTATCATGAATAATACACACACATACACATGAAATGGCTACACTTTTGTGTCCATAGGCTTTTCTGTATTACTTATAATGGTGGACTTGTCCACTGCTGTTGTGGTTTAACCCAGCAGGCAGCTAAACACCACACAGCCGTTCGCTCAGTGGCCCCCCTCAGTGGGATGGGGGAGAGAATTGGGAAAAAAAGTAAAATTCATGGGTTGAGATAAAGACAGTTTAATAGGACAGAAAGGGAAAGGAAAATAATAATAAAAGAATATACAAAATAAGCGATGCACAATGCAATTGCTCACCACCTGCAAAACGATGCCCAGCCAGTCTCCGAGCAGCAGTCACCCCTCCCCTGGCTAACTCCCCCCAGTTTATGTACTGAGCATGACGTCACATGGTATGGAATATCCCTTTGGCCAGTTTGGGTCAGCTGTCCTGGCTGTGCCCCCTCCCAGCTTCTCGCTGACAGGGCATGGGAAGCTGAAAAGTCCTTGACTAGTGTAAGCACTGCTCAGCAACAACTAAAACATCGGTGTGTTATCAACTTTGTTCTCATCCTAAATCCAAAACACAGCACTGTACCCACTACTAGGAGAGAAATTAACTCTATCCCAGCCGAAACCAGGACAACATCCTAAACAGTAATGCTTTAGCCTGAGACATCATGAGGTAGGGAAGGAAGGAGGAGAGAGGAGTAAAACTACATGAAAACAAAGGCCTTCTCTATACTCAACAGAGACCTGATCTCCATCTGATTTTCCAAGTTTTAATACACTTCTGATTTCTTTTTAGACAGTGCAGGTCTAAGCCAACATTTTCAACACCTAATAACATCTGTCTGCATTCAGTCCAACTTGTGTCATACACAAGTAAAATTAAGCAAGAATTATCTGTTAGAATGAAACCCAGACTTCCCACTGTGAAGTCAGATGAGCAGAAGTAACCCAGTGAATTGACATCAGATGGGTATGCTAATGGACCACATCTTTTTAATTAAAAATAAATCAAATCCATACCTGAAGAGACAATTTCCTTAGGTGTGAGGACGGTCAGATATGAGATGTTCACCAGTAAGTAAAAAACAATTACTGCCGGAACAGCAGTCATCACAGTTAAGGGGATATTTCTGCTAGGGTTTTTCATCTCTTCTGAAAAATACAATTTAAAAAGACTACTAAAGCAAGCAATGTAGCTTCTACAAGTGTGTTTTAGTAGCAAATCTGCACAGAGCTTGACAAGACCGACACCAAAGTCCTGCGCAGCCCCTAATCATGGCTCCTAAGCTGCATTGCTTGTGAGGTCCTACAGTTGTTCTCAAATAGTTTATTATCAAAGAAGTCTAAACAAAATATTTTTCATTTTTTCAAATCTCTTTTTTCTTATTTAGCTATGTTTTTAACTAGCTTGGAAGGAGGGATGGCTAGAGGCCTGATAGGCTGATAAAAAAATGACAAAAGGACTGATAATTAGATTAGATATTAGGAAGAAATTCTTTACTGTGAGGGTGGTGAGACACTGGCACAGGTTGCCCAGAAAAGTTGTGGATGCCCCATCCCTGGAAGTGTTCAAGGCCAGGTTGGATGGGGCTTTGAGCAACCTGATCTAGTGGAAGGTGTCCCTGCCCATGGCAGGGGGGTTGGAACTAGGTGATCTTTAAGGTCCCTTCCAACCCAAACCATTCTATGATTCTATGATTCTATGATAACTTTTCTCTGATTTAACGTTTGACTTACATTAGAAAATTGATTTGGTAAGAACTTTTCAAGTAGCCATACTTTTAAATCACAAGCTTGAATGTCAGACTCTAAAGCCAGTTTATTTATTCTTACATCACCTCATGAGTCCTGATCTGAAACTTTCTGAGTGTATTTTCCTATTCCTCCACAAAACCTTTCTCTTTGCCCTTACACCAGGAAATACAGAAAATGTAAGGGGAAGAGACTGAAGGTATTGACAGAAGAGCAGTAACGCAGCGGCTTTCAAATGGGGCCATTCCCAGCTGGATTCTGCTGTTGATTATCTTTTCCAGGGCAAAGTTGGCAGAAAAAAAACTGTTTAGTGCTAAGCCTGGCATCTTAGCTTAAAACTACTCTTACCAAATGAGAAAAAACTCCAGACTTTGCAGCTGAACAACTGAGGCACTGGCACACATTCCTGACCATGTGACAATCCCAGCAAAAGATGGAGCTGGTTTCCAGAACCCTAATAATTCATCCTCATATAGTCAAAAAGGGTCTTTTTCCTCTCTTTCACTCCTTCATCCCTTCCCTCTCACTTCCTCTCCCCTTCCCGCTTCCCTCAGCATTTACAAAAGGCTTCCTGAGTATTACCAACCAATAACTCACAAGGGGGAAGAAGTGAAAAGTCAAATGTGCAGCTTAATTGAGCTTTTTTTAGGAGACAGAAATCCCTTTCCTCCCTCAAATATAATTTGTCTCCTGCCCAGAACACCAGCTTTCAGCCTGCCCCAGCGCTGGCTGTAGTGCACAGAGACAGAGGGAGTGAATGAGCACAACAGTGAAATTCAGATACAGACTATCAGAGAATTTGGGATTTATTTCAAATGTAAGAAATACACTTAGTAATTTTGAGTCCAGAAGGGGACAATCACCAAAACTGCCAATTTAAATTTGTCTTTCCATTTGTTTTGTTGCTCGTTACAGTCCTGACGTCCAGCTGGCACCTGATGCTTTAGCTGAAGCTCACAGGAATTAAGTTATTGTTGAAGAATAGGAAATTCAGTTCAGAAGAGGACTATTGCATAGGTTGCATCTGTCTAGACATCTGTGCTGTCCAGTGTATGGTATTTATTACTACTGCTAACTGATCAGAAAATAAGTTAATGTTTTAGCAATAATTTTGTATTTTCTCGGGCTTACAAAGCTAATGCTTGCCTTTAAGAAAATCCCAAGATTTCAAAATTATACTTTGCTAATTTACCTCACCTTTTTTATTGCAGCGTACTGATAATGCTGGAATAGCTAGATTTTAATAAGAACAGTCATTTTTTTAAACATTAACCCAATTTTCACACCGTTCTCACCATTGAACTTTGTGTTATGCATTTCACACGTTCAGTTTATTTAATGTTTTACATGTGATAGAGGTCAATGGATAAATAGGTTTAAAGATATAAAAGCAACATCCATTTGCTTACAACTTAATTCTATAAATCCGATGATACTATAAAACACTATCCATTTAACTCGTGACGTGCATAATTAACATTATGAACATTATCCCTGCAGCTTTAATGAAAAACTGCTCTATTTATTACTGCCACTTGTGTCATCAGATACAGCGTAGGATAAGTAAATGGATATTCAAAAAGGTTTGAATGTTTAAAATTGAGTACAAGTTGTATGAAAGGAGTTATACCACTTTCCTCACATTCTTCTTCACCTTCTGTGCAAAACTATTTTCCCAAGGAAGTGACTACTGACCATCCTATACATCCCATAAAATTACTGTATTTTAACACAATTCAAAATTAATTTGTCCACGTAAAAACCAGCTGCATAATCTTAGAGAGGGTACAGATATTTAAATACACATTAATCAATTATCTTTTTGGATTTGGTCCTTACTGTGCACATAGTTTGGCATGGATATCTTAATCCTTTTCTAAAAATGCACTGACACTGACACTAAGACAAAATGCAACTTTTTAAGGTATGAAAAGATCTGTTTATGCATGAGATTTTAAATGAACTATTTTGATTTCTCTTGTACTCCTTTGGAAATGTCAGTCTGATTCTGGAGACTGCACAAGAAGCAAGAAACTTCCCTAGAGAGGAGCAACGCCTCTTCTACCAGCCCCAACACAGGGCTTGTGTAAAAAGTGAGAGACCCTATGGTCTTCAAAGAGAGACAAGTTCTACTAAGATGAGCTGAGGAACGTAAGAATGGCAACTGCAGAACAAAATCTAAAGAAGAGGAGTGAGATACCTGCCATATAATTGAGGGACCACCAACCACCATACGCATACAGTCCTTGGAAGAAGGCTTCGGCAATCTGTGACGCGTTGGGGATCTCTGAGCTGAACGCATCCTCAAACCTGGCCAGACTCTCCTTTCTCCCGCCAACGAGAACTATGCCACCGATGGCGATTACAGACAAGGCCATCATCTTCAGCAGAGTGAAAACCGTCTGCACCCACGCAGCCATTTTGACGCTGCAGCCATTCAAAATCCCCAGGGACCAGAGAACGGCCAAGGCCAAGCACTTCTTCAGCACTTCTGGTGCAGGGCAAATGCCGTAGAAGGGCTGGGTGGCATATTCAGCAAACAGCAAGGCTCGAGCAGCATTTGATGCTGGCTTGGTAAATGTTGACGTCCAGATAAAGACGAAGGCGGGTAGGGATCCAAGGCCTCTTTTAATATGGCTGTATTCTCCTCCGGAGAAGGGCAGAGCGGGTCCCCGCTCCGCATAGCAGAGGGAACCCATCAGAGAAACCAGCCCAGACGCAGTCCAGATCGTTAGTGCGACGCCGATGTTGAGCAAGGAATGCTTTAACACCCCCGTGGGAGACACAAAGATCCCTGCCCCGACAATTGATCCTATAATAAAACTTACCCCATCAACATAACCTATATTTCTTTTGAGATGCATCTTGGCCTTTTCTTTTCTTTTTCCATCTTTGGGATCATGGCTCTTTCCTTTTCCCATATTTTTTTCTGTTTTTTCACAGCAGATTATATGACTTCAGAGGCTAGATTACAGGAATTTCTCTCTCACTTTGTTGTTAGCGAACTGTCACAGCCCCACTTGCCAGTGAAATGTTAAGGGAAGCCTGGCTTAATCATTCAGAAAAGAGAGCATACTTTGGGTTTTGGTGTCTTCTGTGTGAAGATGATTAACCAAATACTTCAAGGAACACTGGCAAATCATACACATGTTGGTTTAATATGTACTTCAGAAATTATTAAGGTCTGGAGGTATTTTTAAAGAAACCGGCATAACAAATGATGCGCAGTAAATGCTCATTTCTTGGCTGATTTTCATCAACAGATTTCACATTTTTTATGCAAGTCTTCAGAGACAACAGTGAGAGGCGGGTAAATGTGACCTCTGCATCAGACCTAGGGAAAGGGGAAGGGTATGGCAGCATGAAGAAAGATATCAGCCCTCCTTACGTTATTGACAGTGACACGGGCATTAGTTGAACAGTCTGGTACTATTTTTCCACCATCAATACATAAAAATGACAGCGATCACCAGTGAATACCAGTATGTTTTGCCAAAGCCCCATCAGTCACTGGGTATAGTGGAGCTTGTTTGTACTTCACTCATTAAACTCTCCCCTAGAAAGAAAATTACCAGTTTATTCCCAGCTCTTCTCGAGCGCTCGTCGTTACAGTAGTACCCAAGCATTTCCTGAGCAGGTATTAATCTTTGGACACTGCTGTGAGGGGAAGGGGCTGTATCGTCGTTTCCATTGCATGTATGCGGAGCAGTGGAAGAGAAAGATGAAGGCTGAAAGTTCCCACCACCTCTTCAGGTGTGGCCACTGACTTTTCTACATATTTAACAATCCGTGGTATATTTTATGTTCAAAATACAGAAACGGAGCTCCTCTTCAATCAGATGCGGATATACCACTGTCATAGACATTTGCTCCAAGAAAAATGTTATTTATTCTTTTTAAGAGATGTAGAGAAAAATGGGCAGAAAGAGGGAAACCGACTGAAAAAGAAGCTCAGCATATACCTTAAGGGTTGTTAAGCACCCAAACTAGTAGCTGCAAAGTTCTTACTTTTCGCCAGTCAAGTTGTGGAACCAGTTTTGTCCCGAAGGTCAAAGCTCAGGAATGCAACAAACAAAACTCACAGTTTTTTTACAGTGTCCATCTTGAAAGACACAGTGGTTCAGATCGGTCCTGAACAGCTGGATTTTCACTCAAGTACAAAATAAATTTGTCTTAAAAATTAGGTTTATGTAATATGTCATCATGTAAAAGACCTGTAGTTAAACTAGGCATGTACACAGACTCTTTTTTAATTTTTCCAATGACTTGGTTAAACTGCGTGTCCATCACCACACAGAAACTATGCAGCACAGTCAGTGACAGAATCCACAGCTCCAGAATAGCATTTAACCGTAAGACAATTCTTCCATCTTCTGCAAATCACTGCAGCACTATATACCTTCAACCTCCAAGAAACATCAAGTCCTACAGACTACAAAAATTTTAGTTACACATGAAACACACCTGTTTATAAAATTTTGCATTTTAAATTGCATTTATTCACCTTAGAAATTGCAGTATGTATTTAAGCTCAAGTATGCATTTACCATTTATTATGAATAATTCATAATAATTCAAAGTACTTATTCATTTATACACTTTGATGACATTATCCAGAGACTCAACTGCTGAATATAGGGCAAAGACACATGATTAAAATAACCTAGATACGTTTGTAAGACAAGCATAAGATTCCCCCGATACGTGGAGAAGACTGGAAGGTTATATCATCATCAAAATAAAATGCCAAAGTACTGCAATTTTTACAGTCAACAGGGAACGACGACATTTCGAGTGCCAACTACTGAGTTCTCTTTGACAGTAAAATGAGGTCAAGAGAGTGCTATATAACAGCTGTGGTTGAAAGCTGAAACTGCAGCTCATCATTTCTAGTTCTCCTAGCATTCCGGATTTTCCCTTTTAATTTTCTTTCAAAATTGTTTTAGCTTACAGTGTCACGTTTTTCATTATCAACTATCTATCTAATGCTTATCATGACTGATACCTTCAGTCACTGTAATTTCTCTAGATTTGAGAGAAACCAATACAGAAAAGTAATGGAAGAACAGTTTTGTTGGCTAAAATGGATATGTATTATCTCCTAATAGTAATTAACTGAATTTCAATGTACTTGGATAAGGAGTCTCGATTTCAATCTTATCAAGAATTTTCTGTGTGTACTCACTAGGTTTTTCCTATGATCCACTCACTGATTAGATAGACTAGAAAGAAGCCCATCTGTCTAAACAATGTCAGATTTTAAAATACTTTAGTTCCTTTTCAATTAACTACAAAGTGTTTCAAGCATGGTTTTGACTTATCTCTGCATCATCCCAAATCCTTTAAGGGGAGAAGATGTAGCAAAAATTAGAACCTAATTTGTCTTGCAAAGTTTCAATAAGTAGTCTTCCCTGTTGTCTCTGAAGAAGCTTCCTGCTGCTGACATTCAGCAAGGATAAAGCAGCAGAGGAACAAAGGAAACCTGAAGATACCGTCTAGGAAAAAAAAGAGTCATAGTTAATCTTCCTTGGCATACGTCAAGGGACATACTGTATTTAATATGACTGACAAATTGTATTTATAATCCTCCTTTTTTTTTTCCCTCTTCTTTAGCTCACCTTTTGTGGGGAATATGACATTTTAAAGTAGTTTTCTTTGTCTTGCCTTCTGAAAGGAGCTCAACAGCTATTCAATGATTTCCGTAAGTCCCATTAGATAGAAGCCAGTTTACCATCTGCCACACTGGACCCCATGATGCATTCACAAACTTTTATTTAGAAAATGAGTCTGCACATAGAGGGACATGACAATCTACTGCCTTGGCAATATCCTTTTTTCCTGGTACTCCACCAAACTTGTCATGTATCTGCATTTTAGTAAAAGTCTTAAGGATCTGTTTGTTTTCCTGGCAGATGTATCATTCTACTTTTACTACTGATCAAGAAAGAGACCCCACATAGTAGTCAGCTAATGACAAAGCAAAAAACATGGGAAAAGCCACTGTTTTGTGACATGCTATGATGTTTGCACTTGCATCCTATACAGCTGTTCATACTAGCTATAGAGTTTCTCTTAAGTATTTCTCTTTGATAAAATAACAATTTAAGCGTGTTTGTGTGAGCTGCTGTATACATTCTCTGGTGGGCTGTAATGTGTAAAGATAGACTTTTTGCAGTAACAGATATCATTAAACAGTGGCTAGTAAACAGGGCCAGCGATAGCATTCATCTGTGTAAAGGTCGACATTTAAAAACTAGGTGTTTACTTTGTTAGGCTTCCCCTGTAGTAAATAGCAAGAGATGGGTTGAGACTTATCCAATCCCGGCAATGGTTGTATTAACTGCGCACTGGAAATGATTCCCCTTCTACTTTTAGAGGGTTTGATGAAATCTAACCCACACCACACCCCATGGCGACAGGCCTGCATTTTCTACATCAAACGCTCAGGGTTGTACAGCTTATATAGTGGCACTACAGTGCCCTGAAGAATAAAACTATTCATGAAGAAAAGCCAGTAAGGTACTGTAAAGAGCTACTACAATAGCACGTACATGAAAAAAGCAAGCACAGCGCCTAGTCCAGGTAGGAAGTCTATTAGGACACTCAGTCCAGCCTTATTGAACTTTGTTTAACCAAAATTCACCTTTAACTACATTTCTCTTCAAAATCCTAGTTGTACTGTAACTGCCAGCGCCTTGTGACTGCCTCTGGTCACCCAGAAGTTCTCCCTGTTGTTCAGGCAGGCCATGCCGAGCAAGATCCCCTAGTCGTGGCCCAGCAGAAACTCCCCAGCAGCTCAAGCGAGCGCTGGCATTTTCCGGCTCTTCACGATTTAGCGGGGGTCACGCCCTGCACACATCCCGGGGTGGGAGCCCCAGGTTTCAGCACACTGGCCGCCAACAGGCAGGCCCATGAGCAAGTCGTCAACACCCGAAGTGTCGACCGAAGTCCTCCTTGTCAGGGCTTCAGCGTGTTAGAAAATGCCCCTTCTCAGAGAGCGAAGCCGTGGCCCCCGCCGAGGCCAGGCCTGCCTGAGCCAGTGGCGAGCTTCGAGCCGTGAGTGAAACAAACGCTTAATACTGTATCAGCCCTAAAAGAAGCCAAAGCCCCCAGTCATCTCCCTGAGGAGAACGCAAAGCAGTCCAGCTCTCACACCCAGCCTCCCCGCTGGCCGCTCCCGGGCGGCAGGGAGG